CAGAGTAACCAGGAGCAACCTGGCCTTTTGTTTCCTTTTCCATGCAAAGGGCACAAAGGTGACTTGAAGCTATTCTGAAGTACTTCCCTGCCTCAGAATCACACCATGTCCTCAGCCAAAAGCAAAATCCATGGCAACAAGGGAGCAGAAAGCAATGTGATCCCAATAGGCAGGCTCACAGCAACCAGCTCGACATAATTCGTTTCCATTATTTATGAAGGGTAAGATCAGCTCTATAACAGGAAGTCAGTACCAGAGGGTTCTCAAAACTGTTGTTTAGCAGGCTGAGCAAAAGGCTTGTAAAGCTCTGCAAGGAACTAAGCAGCTCAAGGCAGCTGGAATATGGGTCAGGATAAAGGAAGGTTATAGTAAAAATGGACATAGTCATGCAAAAGCATCATGCTCTTTTTAGTTTGAGGAGGGATTCACAAGATGAATTCTTTCCACATTAAAAAAAGAGAAATCAAAGATGATAAATGACCAGTACAGAAGTGGAAAAAGGGGCTCTCTCTATCGTTTGTTGAGGTGCATGAATGAGAAGTCAACCAAAGAGACTGAAGGGATACAGCTGAAAACTCAAGGCACAACACACACTTGGTACCACAAGAGGTTATGGCAGCCAAGCTCCAGTTTCATGTCATTATGGGTTCACCTCTGTGTTCTGCACGGCCAAGGAGTGACTAAATTCACTCTGAGAAGGTCCTGGCTTTGGCCTAACTGCTACCTCCAGCTGGGTTTAACACAAACATTCTGGAGGTCTAAGATTGCCCATCATTAAGTACCAAGCTAGTAATAGGGTTCTTTGCAAACGTCTTTTCATTTTACTGGTGAAAAATGCTGCATAAAACAGAGATAAACTAAGACAGTGAGAGGACACGTGCTCTCCTCTCTGGGCATGTCAAAATCTCCAGCTGCCTGAGTGGACAAAGACACTTGTTTATGCAGACATATCTGCATCAAGTTCACCCTTACAAAAGTTCCCAGCTGGTTCTGGGAATTGTGGAGCCTGACCTGTGCCACAGGTACACTGCTGGGGTGCTGAGCCCCTCACCTGGGCACGTTCAGCTCAGTCCTTCAGTCGTGGTGGCTCCTGGGCTGTCTAAAGTATATTGTTATGTGGGTGGTGAGAGGGGCAGAGTGACTTAGCAGCAAATGTTTTTCTATACTATGATGATGATGATGATGATGATGATGATGATGATGCTGTCTCTAAGCTGTCTCTTTTTCTTTTGCTCTCTATTGAGCTGCTGGATCAAGTCCAGAGAAGAGCAACAAGGCAGGTGAAGGGACTAGAGGGGAAGTCTTACAGGGAGAGGCTGAGGGAGCTGGGGTTGTTAGCCTGGAGAAGAGGAGACTCCAAGGGGGACCTCATCACTTTCAACTACCTGAAGGGAGGCTGTGGTCAGGTGGGGTCAGGCTGTTTTTCCAGATAACTAGCAGCAAGACAAGAGGGCCTGGCCTGAAGCTGCTCCAGGGGAGATTTAGGTTGGATATCAGGAAACACTTCCTTATGGAGAGGGTGATCAGACATTGGGATGGACTTCCCAGGGCAGTGGTGGAGGCACCATCCCTGGAGGTGTTCAAGGACAGGCTGGATGTGGCACTTGGTGCCCTGGTCTGGAGATGTGGGGGTGTTGGACATAGGCTGGACTTGATCACCTTAAAGGGCTTTTCCAGCCTCGGTGATTCAGTGGTTCTAAGCTGAGGGGAATCCTTGCACAGGAGACAAAGCTTCCCAGAGGCCAAGAAGCTGAACAGGCAACCTGAAGCCCACCTGGAAAGCCATGGAGTTGGCTGCAGCCAGGAAGATGCGCAAGGGCAGCTTGGCTTTGTAGGAGCGGTGGCTCCAGAGGCGATGCGCGCCCGCCGTCACGCCCAGGGCCGTCAGCAGGGAGCAGAAATAAGCTGAAACACACAAAAACAACACCCACCGTGAGCCAGGGGGCAACCACCATTAGTTTTGCTTTCTTGGATGTAAAGGTGAGCCTTGCACCTGCCTGCTGATGCCTGCAGGGTCACTCAGAAGACGAGGCGAGGCAGACAGGAGGTGAGATTCTCAGCCCATCTCTGTCCCCTGGACATGTTGTTCCACTTCCCATTCCTTCCCATCTGGCCAGAGTGTTGTTCAGGAGTGTTTGGCAGCACTGGAGCACTGTAACTCCTTTACACATCGTGCCTTTGTCGAGTACAGGAGAGTGAAAGTTCATCACTCATGTCAGAAAAGTAGGAATAACTCTTCTCCCAGGATGCTGCCAGCCTTCTCCAGAAAGGCCTTTGCTCAGGTCTGATCTGTCAGCTAGTTTAAGAGCATCACATTCCACCCCTAAAGATACGAGCTGTGTCACGAGTTGCCACAATAAACACTTCCCTTATCATCAGGAGCTAGTGACTGGGTAATGCAGAAGGGCCAGGAAGTGGAGCCTTCGCCACTTCCCTCAATTTCAGGAGCTGTTTTTCCTTCCCTTAATTAAAAATACATCCAAGTTAACTTGTTCCAAGTGTTTTTTTCAGATGGCAAACACAGCATGGGAGCAGGTCTGCTCCTTACCCACCACACTGGCTCCAGGCTGGGCACAGAGCCCAAGCACATGCATCCCACCATGTAACCCCCCCACCTCCTCATGCTTCAAATAACACCCCCAGCAGAACGAGAACATCTGCTGTTGTCCCTTTCAGCAGGGGCCACCAGTGCTCCCCCAGTTAACCTCACATTTCCAGGGCCAAAGAGAATGGCTGCTGGGGAAGCAGAACAAGAAAGTGGACCCAGGTTGCCAAGCATCTGGGCATGGATTGTTCCTCCTTTGCTGTGCTCGCTGGTTTGGTCTCTAGTGTCTTTGTCTTCCTGTGTGGTGGATGATCCATGGAATGAGCTGTTTTGACTTAGAATGAAAGGGAAGACTATGGGAAAAGGCTGGAAGAACAGCATTATTAGAGCTGCTCCTCCTTTTGGAGAGAGACTGGAGGGAAAACAGGCACACCTGGGAGGAAAGTATGATAGAAATCCCAAATAAATTGGACCACTTAAAACATCTCACCTTTAAGCTACCCAGCTGTCATGATAGAACTCTTACATCTCCCTCCCAAAGGTATTGATTTCTTATACTCTACCTACAGGGTACAGGCTCATCATACAAGTGTCAAATCAAAACAAGACCAACAGTAGGAATTTTACAGGACAACCACAAACAAGTTTGCACAGTCTGAACCAATAAGCTGTTTAGCCAGGGTTCCCTGCCACCCTACACACAGAGGTATGTTGTGGTTAAAACAGCCTATTTCAAACACCTAAATGAAGCTACTGCAATGGAAAAGGAAAACCCTCTCCCCAAAAAAAGGTTTTTTCTACTTGTGTCTGCACAACAGTCTGTCCAGCAAGAAACCCTGTTAGACATGCAGTGGCTAGAAAGGAATTCACAACCAGCTTTTCCCAGCATGTAATGTAAAATGTCTGTCTTCCCAAAAAAGAAAACAAAAATATGTGTGTGTCAGGGGGTGTCTGCTGTGTCCCTCTATCAGCTCCCAACTCATAGTGCTTGAAATTACAGCATCTAAGAGAAAATAAAATAGAAACATGTTTGGCAATGTAATGGCAACCCTATTTCATGTTGACTGTCATCCCTGTGGACTGCAGGAGTAAAGGGATCATATTTCTACTCCACTGGAGGATTCACCTGAGCTGCTCCCCATTATATACATGACCCAAATTCCTTTCATCTCCTGCAGAGTTAACCAAGTCTTTCTCACAAAATGCAACGGAAAAATGGGACTCAGGATGGTCCTAGTGCAGATGTCCTGCTTTGGACACTTTGGACAACACCACCAAAGAGGCAACTCTCCCTTTTGGCAGGCTGCAGCATTCAAGCTACTCCAGAAAAGGCTCCTCCATGCAGTTAAGCCCAGTATGCTGAGATCTATTGCCAAATTCAGACTCTTACCTGCTTCCTGAAGTGCAGAAATGGACCAAAAAAAGGCACGTGTTCTCTCTGCATGTTATTTACAAATGTTGTTGAATTTACAGATTAATATTGGATCAGTGACAATGCTGACACCACAGTGAATCACAGCTCACACTCCTATCTCTGGTGCAGCGTTGCAGCTTTTTGCACACCCCTCCTCAGTGCAAGGCCTGGGACTTCTATGAAAACAGAGCAAACCTGTTGTCGTTTTCTGTCCCTGATGTCGATCTGTGCAGCAACATCACTAAACAACACCTTCCAAACAGCTCAGATGGTTGTGGGAACAGATCTGAGACAGACAGAACGCTGACATTATGCAGCCAACATGAAAAACACTGAGGTTGCAGCCCTGAATCACTGCCAGAACATATTGTCAGTGGGATTTCTGACTGGTTAACCTCCCGCTCCTCACAGGGGCTGACATCTCCCACCTTCACCAGTCTCTTTGCTTTCTTTAAGCACAATGTGGGGGGGGGGCTTCTCTCCCACTTCAAAGCAACAGATCATTTAGTTGAGCAAGTGCTTCTCAAGGCATTAACCCATCTTAATTGCAATGGATTGTTTAAAACCAGAGGTAAAGATAAGTGGGTAGAACTAGACATACGCAACATTAAGGTTCATTTCATTTCTTCCTCTGTTCAGTGCAAGAAAGAGGCTGAGTGGTCACACAGAGAGACCATAAGAAACAGTAGCACTGAATAAAGGGATTTTTGCCACTTGAGGACTCAGCTCTTACAGACCTCAGCTCAACAGAGACCCTTTGATTCAGCCCACTCCACACCACCAGCACCACACCAGAACGGACAACGCATTTTGGCTGCTCTTTGTGGCATCCTGTGTCCACACCTTTGAACAGCACCTCCCACTCTAAGCCCTTGCCCAGCATCATTCCCAACATCTCGGGAAGCCCTGAGCTACAAATGGGAAGAGGATTTCTCCGACACATTCCTGCAGGAGTCCTGTTGCTGCACAGGTGGCCTTGCAGACAGTGTCTCTCCAGCCCCCAGCCAGGAGCAGGCCATACCCACACAAC